GAACCAATAAGAAAAAAATGGCAGTGTTTATTTTCTTTCTTTATTTTTTTTTACCCTCGCATATTTACACGTCACACGAAGAGTTACGTGAATGGAACACTTTGGGAGAACTAATCTCCACGTCACGCTAAGAAAAAAATTATTATGTCATAATTCTAATGACTCACGAAAGTATATGTTTGATGTTTTTATTCAAGTTACTTTTTTTTTGTTTTTCCTTTAAGAAACGATGAACTAATCTTACAATTTCGGAACATCATTCTTTAATCATACATTCTTTCTCATAATCGCATTAATGAAATTAATCGATAATTAAACGGAAATCCACTAGATTGTTAAAGAATTATCTCTCATAAAAAATGGGGGAAATATTTTAAAAATTAGCAATAAATAGTTTTTTATTTCTTCTGTTTCAACAGTGAAAAACATACAAATATATTTTGAAATGAATAAATACGTTTATTTGAAAAGGATTATTATAATATTTCTGTAAATAATTATATTATTTTGCATTATATTATATTCAGTTACAATACAATACATTATATTATATTATATTATATTATATTATATTATATTATATTATATTATATTATATTATATTATATTATATTATATTATATTATATTATATTATATTGTATTATATTATATTATATTGTATTATATAGTGAAATTTATACGATAAATTAAATATCTTTATACTTATAAAAGTAAAATGTATTTACTATATATTGGTAATAAATATGAAAATAAAAATGTTTAACATAAAAAGACACCCTATGTGTTCTCTATTAAATATTTACTCTTACTCTCCTTACCCAAAAAATTGATTTTTCTATTCCAAATCTTGGCACGCGAAATCATGCAAACTCTTAGTATGTTCATATTCTTTTATACGAAAAATCAAAATACGGAAGATGTAAAAAATTCTTACGCAAATCGAGATTTGTATTAGGATCACAGAATACCCAAAGAGGTAATATGAAAGATCGTGCCACCTCTTGGTAAATTATATTCTCCTATTTGAAAAATAGAAATACGGAGGACGTGAAAAATTCTCACGCAAATTCTAATCTCGTATCAGGATCACATAATGTGCGAAGAAGTGGCACACGAAATTATGCCGCCTTCAGGTAAGTTATTCTTTCCTATTCGAAATTTTAAATCCTAAAGAGATTAGAAATTTTTCCTGCAACTTGAGATTTGTATCAGGACCACAGAATATGGCATACGAGATCGTGCCATCTCCTGATATGTTCGAAATTTCAAATGCTGGGTATAACGGAGAATTCTTCTCATATCGAACTTTGTAAGCTTTTCTTTTTAGAATTTAAAAACTTTCTTTTGGTCACTTATTTTTTCATCATATATTTATTACATAAAGATGAATTTGGTATATGAAGAATAATGGGTGTTGTGAAGTTGAATTTAAAAAAGAACATATTGAATTATTATTTACAATAATCATTTATTTTCTATTCAATTATTTATCTGTACACAATACCCCCTATTTGGTAATTATAAGGATATTTACTTAATCATATAAATCGTTATATAATATAATACAATATTATATAATTTAAAGGCATACAATGTAGTATAATGTAATATATATATTAATAGATTAATAAAGAACAACAGATTTTATTATTTGTCTTGTACAGTTTTTTATTTGTGCATGATATTAATACATTGTTGTGGATTTAACTTTTGTTTGTACAATTTCCCCATCTTTTACGATGCATATCATTGTATTCATCTATAATACAGGTTTGTTCTAAATGCTTTCATTTTTCTTTATCTTTTCTTTCTTTTGCTTATGTTCTATGTCTTCTTGTGTAATTTTTATTGTCATCACTATTTGCCAAATTTTGAAACATTTAGAATTTATTTAATTACGTTGAAATGAGTCTGGCCAACTGAAAAGGAAACTAATTGAATTATTTTTATTTTTTATATAATATATAATTATTTTATATTTTGTATTTGAAAATTTATTTTGATTGTATTTAGAAAGAAAAATCACAGACTTATTTTGTTTTTATACTTTCTTGGTCATAAAATTCCCCTACTGTTAAAACTAGAAGACTGGGATATCCTCCACAATAAATTTTCTCTTATAATTTGTGTCGAGTAATAATAATAAATTAAAGTTTACTATTAGATTTTTGCGAAGAAGAAAATATCATTATGAATGGCTCATTTTTTATTCTTCTACAAGACAGCTAAACATGATTCCAATTCTTTCTTACCTTTATATCATTACAGTTTTGTACCGCTAAAGGAAACCTACAAAACATACATAATTAATAAACATACATAATTATTTTAATTATTATCAAGATTAATTTAAGTTAAAAATTATCATCTACGTAGTCATCTGTAACACTATAATCTTTTACTCTTATTAGAAAATTAACAAGAGATCTCTGATTTGTCTGACTTTGATAAAATGAATTATCTCATTAGTATCACATTTTTTAGTGATAAAATTACCAAAAAGAGCCAACAATAAAAGATATTTGAGATATTTTGTTGCTACTTCATTGATAGTTTCATTTTCATTGAACATGTCCACGAATCATGTTTAATCTTTCAAATTTGAAACTTTGTTTCAAGCCATAAATTTTTCATATATAATAATCAAACGAAAGCACAATAATAAAATATTTATTTATTTTTATACCTAGACTTTCGAAATATTCTATTTTATTAATATTATTGAATAATCAAAATGTATTGTCGAACAATTCCAAAAAGAGAATATTATTCTTATCTTCTTATATTTCTATATCAGTTATTAATCCTCCTAATGATATTTTCCTATGTTCAAAACAGCGAGGTTATGTTTGTAATTAATTATAACTTTTATAATATTATATTAATTAATAATATTAATTAATACTATTATATTAATAAATAAAATACAGAAAAGTATATAAGTATGCCATTACATAGGCCATTGTATATTTTTATTTATTATAATATATCTACTTCTTAGATGTATTAAATAAAAATTCGCATGAATTATTTCTTTTCTTCAGACAATTGTCCCACAATTATTGAATAATATCGTATTGTTTCTATTAATATTTCCTCAATATTCATTTCATATAATTAATTATTTTCGATGTTATTTTCCTTTTTAATTTCACAATCGTGTTCTGATTGTTCATTACAAAAAAGAATTCATTTTTAATATATCTAACTTAACTTGTCTTGCGTAGTAATTATAAAATAAACAAAATACAGTCGAACGTTAGGACTGAATGAGCCTTAAGGGTAGTAACTTCTGCGGATTAATATATGTATGACGAAAAATATTATGTCCGAACGTACGGCAAAATAGAAATACGCATATATATAAAATGTCCTGTTTATAGGGACACAGGTCGTACTTCTTACGAAATAAACTTCCTTTAATTATGATCGATGATTTGATAAACATAAAAAAGATATAAAGAACGGCTTTTGTTTAAAACATGCAGACTAAAAACCGGTAACAAACTATACAAGATTATTCTTGCTCCTTAAAGAAAACTGATAAATTTAATAAATATTTTATAATAATAAAAGAAACTTTTATAATAACATTGTTGAATTGTCTCGACAAATGTTGTCGAACTGTGAAAAGAAATATATGATGAAATGAATTTGACTTTGAAATTTCCCTTCGTCGTTCCAACCTCTATAAAAAGAATTAGTACTGTATGATGCGTTATTTCATGCACAAACAAAATCTGTAAATAAATTTTTTTGCAAGTTCCATCCATCCCGAAATATCGCAATTTTTTGAAATAAACGGGATACTCTGTGTGTGTGTGTATAAAAATATTCTATAAATTTTGTTTTCTGTCATATATAATTTACATATTAATTAATATCTTTATGAAACAAATAACAATTACGACAAATCGAACGCTACACAATTATTACCTCTCAATATGGAATATAAAAAGAAAATAATGTATTATAATATATATGAAATATATTATTTGCTAAAAAGTTTTGCTGTCATATATAATTAACATATTACCTTAGTAATAATATCTCTATGAAATAAATAAATAAGAAATACGATAAATGTAACACTACATTACTATTACCTCTCACTACTAATATGAAACAGAGCGTAAACTTTGACTTTTATAAGAGAATAATAACTGGACCGTTGAATTATAGTTAAGAACATTTTAAAAGATTCGAAAATATGTAGAAAAAAAAGTATGAACTCATCATTATGAAAGATGTAGGTATACAAAATAAAAGAAAGAAGGAATGTTAAAAAAAAAACGATAATAAACGATAATAAACGATACAAGTTGCAATTTGTCAGATATATAAGAATCTGAACATTTTAAATGTACGTATGTAAAAAGTAACCTTTGAAATTTACATAATCATTAATTAAGTGAATTTTTATAAAAGTCGATCTTTTAAATTCTTTACTTCTATATTTTATCAACAGATGGCAACAAATACAAGAGGTCTTATATCCACCCATTATCTTTATGCGTCGGTAATGTCGTTATATACCATTTAAGCTTCCGTATAAATTTTATCTTATTTCAATGAACGATCGTATATATTATCAATCTAAATTTTATTTATTAAAATCTTATTTATCAATATACTTGCAATTTATCTATTAGATATCAGAAAAGTATCAAATATTTATCATAATATAAGTAATAATTCATAATGTATAAAAACACATGCTTTTATTTGATAATCTTTAAAAATAAGTAAAAACATTTATAAACATTGAAATGCGTATTATGTGGAAGAAAACATATCAAAATAGAATTTAAAACGCACAAAAATTAATGTTCTAAGGAAATATTCAATTTGTGGCAATCTGAAATTCTTTTCAAATGCCTTTATTAAATGTAATTTAACAATGGTATAATATACATATATGTATTTATGTATATATATATTATTGAATTATTACTATCTTAAGAGTTTTTTCTATAATTACGATTGCTATTCTTCTTCTTTCATCCACCTGGGCTAATAGCTCATGTATCAGATAATAATAAAGACTTCTCATTTGTTTATTAATCAATTAATTTGACAATAAACTATTCTTATCATTGATATATCTAGCCTGGTGGACATATTTAGCAGTTACTGGTACGTAGTAGAAGTATCTATAATCGTTTCGTTGATTGATCAATTCTTCAATACGGTTTTGAAGAATTTTTGTTTTTCTAAGTTCTTGTTCTAAGTATACAAAATTTAAATATTTTTCATAATCTTGCTGATGCGTTACATATACATAACGAACAAGAAATCTGGTTATGGGGTGCTGAAAATAATAAAAATATAAACATATCATGTAATATGAATAAATATATAAAATAATGGTATAACTATCATATCAATAATATTAATTCATGATATTAAATTAATTAATATTTCATACTCTATAATATTCCCAAGGTTTTGGCGTATATCCTTCTGGTATAGGTTCAAGTGTTGCTGGACCCACGAACACATTTACGCAAAATGTCAGGATTGATAATGGTATTACACCCAACATAACATAGAAATGTAGCAGATCTTTACATTTTGACCATTGCCATTTAGTACTTTTTATCATCATTACTTGGTCATGTGACATACATCTTATCTGATCTGTAATGATATAAAGTAATAATATATTATAACTTTTAGACTATTACAGAGATTAAATATACATTGGCTTTTATCAGTTAATATTAATATATTAATTTAATACCAATGGTAATTAAAATTAAATAAATATTTGAACAAAACTATCAAAGACAAATCAAAATAAAATAAAATTGATATAAGAGACTTATATTTTTTTATGTAAACTTAAATTTTTCAAATATGTACAATATGATAATATATAATCTTAAACATATATAATTTAATTTAGTCTAGTTTATTATATATAATAAGTTATAACATAATAAATAATATGAATAATATGTTTGAAATTTTCAAAGTGAAAAAGGAAAAAATTATTATCATAGTTATTTATGTCAATTATTATAGCTAATTCCTTATAAAATATTGCATAACAAGATTACTATATCGTTCATAAATCATTCATAATTTAAAACTGACATGGATATATAGATATATAAAATATTCGAGGTATAAATTTTATTACTTACTATTTATAGAAGGTTCTTTTAACAATAATGTAGGAAGTCTACTGAGTTTTTGGCTCGTAGAACGCAGAAATATACTCCAGACTGCCATTTTGCCTCCTGCAGACTGAAAGTAGTAACAAGAGTGATCAATTATCCATGTTTTATCGTATCGCAACAGCTGATCGAAACAGCGCGAAATTTCAAACATGATAGATTATATAACTATCCTATAAACAAAATATTATAAAAGATGTAAAATTTAAAACACTCGTCAAACTTTGTTTGCACATTAATTCGCATGCGTTTTTATATTATTACATTTTTGAACGTTTTCAAATTTACAGAACATAAATGCAATTCAGATTTATATAAATTATCGATAATATTATTCATTTGTAATAATATAGGATTTTAGTCTCATTAAAAAAAAAATTCAATCATGTTTTTTCCAGACAAATCAAATTACAAACAGATTGTATTATTACTTTGATTCGACAGCTTAGAGTTATACAATAAATTTATTCAATGTCATGTCTTACGTTCGGTAAAAAGAAAAAAAGAACAAAAAATAGAAAAAAGATAAATAAAATAAAGTGATCGTAGTATTTCATAAAGTGATCGAACGCAAATATTTTAATTTTCATCGGAAATTATAATTTCAATTATCGGTATTTAATAAATGATTGAACATAGATTCATAATTTCTCATTATTACATAATATGTAATGCTAAATTATATTCTCATTTTTATAACACACCTTATTGAAGTACTTTCGATATGTATAAGTTGTTAAAGATTAGAAAATAACTCGCAATTATAGATAAAATCAATTACGCGTTAATACAAACCAGATAAATGAGACTGATCACGTTACAGTTGTGTGTTAATGTAAAGATAAAATAAATATGATAGGTTTTTTAAAAAAAAACTTTTGTTTAGTAAACGATCAGTAATAATTTCTTCGTTCGTAGTGATATAATAATTGTTTCTTTTTTATTTTATTTTCTTTTTTTAAAGTCGATCGTGAAAAATAAAAAAGAAGTAAAAGAATGAAAAACAAAAAAGATGACAGGAGAATGGGATAAATATTTTGCGGTAAAGAAATTTTCAAATACAAAATTGTTTTGATACGTCTAAATGACCGATGTTGCCAATGCGATTTAATAGACGCTCAGCGTCAACACGAGTCGGGTCAAGTGAGTAATTGAACTCAAGAAACGATTGTAAATTAAGATCACTCTGAGAACCGTGGTAACGTGATCGCACTTTCGAGAAAAGTCAAAACAATTTGTTAAAAAACAAAAGTATCCGCGAGAAAATATTAAAAGGAAAAAAAGTATAGAATTGTGTGAAAAAAATTTATAATTTATTCATTACATTTTATAAACTGAATTTGTATTTTATAAATCTATTGAATAAAATACAAACGAAATAAAACTAAAGTGATAATAAAATTTTTAAGAAAATTTATATGACTATAAAATTTATATTAATTCTTACACTAATAAAACTACATATTTGTATTAATAAAATAAAATTCCAAATATAATATCTGTTCTTTAGACATTTTTTTTTCTTTTTTATTTTTCACAACGTTTACTACATAGTACGAACGAAATAATGAAAACTTCAATTGCAAAGAATGAGAAACTAAAACGATATAACTATATATAATTTTAAATTCATATAAAATCATATAAGCCTGTTGTATAAGAGAGAAACGATATAAAATTAACGAGATAATAAAATTTTTTTTTAAATTTATATGGCTATAAAACTATTTGTATTAATCCCTACACTAATAAAACTACATATTTGTATTAATAAAATAAAATTTCAGATATAATATCAGTCCTTTTTTTTCTTTTTTCTTTTTTTTTCACGACACTTACTATATAATATAAAAGAGACAATGAAGACTTCAATTGCAAAGGATGAGGAATTAAAACGATATAACTGTCTTAATATTTGTCAACATATACTTCTAATCTGCAGCTTACGAAGCAGTAATTTAAGTACCATCAGCAATAAGTAACTTAAAAAAAAAAAGTAAAAGCCAACGTAGTAACGCAAAATGAAGACAAATAATTTATAATTATCCATATAAATAAATTTTGACCATCGATGAATATCAAACAATAAAAAATTTGATAATTTATAATGTTCCAAAAATGAAGTAATACGATCGATATTCTTTCTATTTCTTTTAAATGATGGTTAAATGGCATCCATATCTTTGTTCTATCGATTGAATGTTTCAATACATATGATGCTTACATAAATGATTCAAATAACAATATAGAGATATGTATTATATAAATATATATATATAAAATAGTTGTAATCGTTTATTGATAAGCTTGCAAAAAAAATAGATATTTATAATAATCGTTAAAAACTATTTATAAAAGAGTTTAATTCTGTACTTTTAAAATTTTAATATAGAGGAGATAAAAGAGAGAAGAATGTAACTTATCAATTTAAAAATATTTAACAAAAATTTTTGCTTATAAGTCTTAAATTAATATCTTTCCAACTATGAGTCATTTCGCCTGTTCCAGAAAAATTAATTTAACGAATCATAATCATTGTACTTTCAAATAAGATCGAATATAACCCATAGAATTATAATTTGCAATATGAGTTGAATATAAAACGATTTAAAGAACAAAAGAGAGAGAGAGAGAGAAAGAGAGAGAGAGAGAGAGAGAGAGAGAGAGAAATTTAACGCAAGAAAAAAAAATAGAACGAAAAATACGAAAAAATAAATATCAAATAATTAATTCGATCGAAAAGAATCAATATATTCAATTTAAACACGATAGGTTTTTCAACGAAATATCTATTTGCATATCAAAGCTCATCGACGTTTTTTTCCGAACAGATTAACGTATTTTTATTAGCATAGTGTATCGGCTTATGTATCAAGAAAAAAAAAATAAAAATAAAAAAGCAAATTCATCGACACAATTTGTTTTACCTATACATAACCTTGAAGATTAAAAAGAGTGTCGTTCGAAGAGGAAAAAACCGAAAAAGAAATAAGTAAAAAAAAAAAATAAAACCGATGAAAGAAACTCTACAAATTTAGACATGTCATCGAAAAAAAAAGGAAAAAAAAAAAAGAAGAAAAAGGTATTCCTCGAAGGTGCGTCGTTTAATGTCACATATCACGTACTTTTTTGTCGTAATAGATGTACAACCCTTAAATCGGTAACGGATAAAGAATTACTATTACGATATTGTACGTTCATCGAACGTATTGGACAACGATAATGATGACGATGACAACGACGATGATGACGATGACAACGACAACGACAACGACGACGATCTGCGGCGACTCGATTTGCGGCGACTCGATTTGCGGCGACTCGATTTGCGGCGGCTCTGCTAACGGTGTGTGTAAAGAAGCACCGGCAAGGCGGATGGCAGTCGCGTCTCGACCGTCGTGCGTTCCGCTTCGTAAGGATTGTTATTCGTGTTTTCTACCCTTCATCATCGTTCTCATACATTCTTACTTTTTATATTAGGACACGTTATATATATACATACATATATACATACATATATATATATACATATATACATACATATATATATATACATATATACAGATATATTACTCTACGGACACGCATACGTGTGCGTGTGCACTACACAAAGCTATACGTATACGCAGGTACGCACGCGCGCACACGCATACACACGCACACGCATATATATACATACATACATACTAAAGAGATTTTACGGTTTCGCCCTTCTCGACTATTCTCCTCGCCGATTATTCCCCCATACTCTTTCGCCGTCCTGCAATTCCCGTTTCTACTGGAGCAACGGACAGAAAAGGAACGAACGGCTCTCGAAACGGAGACCGAACGACCGCGATCAACGTGAACGAAGCGGTCTACTAAGGAAAACAAGGAGAAGAGCAAGGAAGAAAGGTGAGTTTCTTCCACCAGTCGCGAATTCCAAACAACTCCTGCGCGTCCTTAGATTGGTATTGTAAAATATATATTTTTATACTCTCATCTCTCTGTCTTTCTCTCTCTCTCTCTCTCTCTGTCTTTCTCTCTCTCTCTCTCTCTCTCTGTCTTTCTCTCTCTCTCTCTCTCTCTCTCTGTCTTTCTCTCTCTCTCTCTCTCTCTCTCTCTCTCCTTCTTTCTCTCTCATTCTCTTCCTCTCTTTCTCTCTCTCTTTCTCCCTCTCTCTCTCTCTTTCATTTGCATTAGAATCGTACGAACATCATAATTACATTACGTATTTTATGTATTTACTCATGTGTTTACATACATATGTACATATATATTCATATATCCTGTATCAAGAATATTGTCGATCCAAATCATCGTTCATTTTCATTTTTTATTCTTTCTTTGTTCTTTCTATCACGTAAGAAAATTTATTCGTGGTATTATTACACCAACCATTTTGATGTATTAAATACATCAGGTGAAATAATTTCAAATAATCTAATGAAGATATTACATAATGCTATTTTCTTCTTCTTTGGCACGTAATTAATGGCAAAGAGAGAGAGAGAGAGAGAGAGAAGAATACAAATTCTCTTTTCTATATTCTTTTTACGTCAATTTTAGATATTATTTTCAGACGCGCGTGATTTAACAATTTTTTTTGTTCTTTATCGTTAATTATTATCTTTTCTTTTCCTTCGCTTTATTTTATATTTTTTGTTCTTACGTTTTATACGTGATAAGTCTATGCGATAATGTTTGTGTTGATTATCATCGATATGCAACTTTACATTACGACCGTGACCTGTAAAATAGTAGAATAATTTATCGTAAGATAAAACAGTTTCAGTTCGCCCATTTCTCAATCTTTGTCGTGTATGCACTTGGAAAGTTACGTATAAAGTTGGTAGTACGTCTGTGTTAGTCAGCCATATAAGCGCTGGTTTCCTTTGTGCAACCTTTGATCGAACTATGTATTCGAACGAATGGATTCAATCGCGTATGAAAGGTTCGTCGAATCAAATTATATGTATTCTTATATTGTTAATCTTAAACGAATATTTATAGAATAAAGAAATATTTTTCTTTGATATATGTCATTATGTATATATATATATATATATATATATGTATATATATATTCAGTAACTTGGATTTACTTTAAGATAGAATGATTAGTTATAATCCAATATTATTACCTGAACGTTACTTTTTTTTATAATAAACCAACAAAAGAAAAAACTATCGTTTTAAAAAAAAATCACTTGAAAGAAAAAAATATTAATCAATGATCAATTCTAAATTTACCTTAGTCAAGTCTCATTTCAGAGGGGCGAAGGAGAAGAAGAAAAACGATCCCGTTAAACTTGACGCGCCGGAAAGAAGATAAAACGATATCTCAAGCATTCAATCTTTTCTTTCCTTTTTTATATATATATATATATATATATATATATATATATATATATATGTATTTCTTTTTCTTTTATTTAATGTACACGATAAAAAATTGTATTTGATTGTACTCCTTCCTATCTTTTATCTTTCTCTATTCCAATGCATTATTTCTATCTTCTTATGATTTAAGAATATTATCGTAACTTTCGATCTACTGATCGATGAGTGATTGAATGATATGAATAATTCTTTAATGAAAATAAGTATATATATATATATATATAGTGATAGAAATTTTCGAAACGAATATCAATTTTACGTATTTCATGTTAGACTGTTTAACATGATATAAAGATTTGGAACACGTGATTCTCATTGTTGAACGACGTGCACCTGTTGTTTCTCTTAACGAAA